ATCCTTTCCGCCTCAGCCTTTCAAGTAGCCGGAATTACAGGCATGCGCTACCACGCCCGGCTGATTTTTTGATTTATTGTAGAGATGAGGTCTTGCTGTCCAGGCGGGTCTCGAACCCGTGGGCTCAGGCAATCCACTCACTTCAGCCTCCCAAAGACGTGGGATTACAGGCTGAGCCACCGAGCCCGACTACAATCAATTTAAAAATTAGCCAGGCATGGTGGTACACACCTGTGGTTCCAGCTACTGGAAGTCACTGCACTCCAGTTTGAGCAGCAGAGTGAGATCCCAACTCAAAAATAATAATAATAAATGAGCTATGGCAAAAACATTGGTTTTTCCTCTGATATATATGTTGTAAATACTTTTAAAAATTTATGTTGTTGTTTGCTTTTTAAATTTTGGCTATATTTTAGACTTCTGAAGTGCTAAACTTTTTATGTGGTAAATCTACAGATTTTTTTTTTTTTAATTTTCCCAGTGTTTTCAAGCTTAGAGAGTCCTCGTCCATCCAAAGTCAACTAAATAATCATATATCATTTATTCTAGGTTTTTAATCTTTGTTTGGTTTGTTGTGCTTTTAATATAATAACTAGTTGCTCTAGCTGGAATTTATTTGCTACCTGATAAGAAAGAAAGAGCTAAACTATTTTTCCTCCATAAATAGCTAACAAATTATTCCAATACCATTTACTGAATAATAATCTCTCCCAATATGGGGTCAATCTAAACAGACAGTATCTGCTATTCTATAACTGCAAAGCTGTGAGGGTTCACCCTAATACTAGCACTTACACTATGAAACTGAGGTCAATTATTTTGTGTACTGGTTCCTAGGCACTGAAGGCATGAAATGGGGTAAAGAAAAACAGTTACTTTCTTCCAGGATTGAAATAAAGATAGTAAATTGCATTCAAATCCAAAACAATCATCCCCTTGTTTTTGCTTGGAAGAGTTTGAGTTGGACCCCACTGGAGTGAAACCAAAGACAGATGGCTCTAGAAATAGTAAATATTAACTGGACATGCAGTTTTCAAGGAGGAAAGGGAGGTTTTAATGACTAGTATTCAATTTTATTCAATTTTCCCTTGCAGTATTGGTTGGTTTTAACACAACATGATCTCAGCCAGTCTACTAAATACTGTAGTGTACCTTGCTGCAGTGCCAGGTAAAGAATGATGAAAGGCTGGGTGCGGTGGTTCATGCCTGTAATCCCAGCACTTTGGGAAGTGGTGGCAAGAGTATTACCTGAGCCCACAGGCTTGACACCAGCCTGGGCAACATGGCAAGACCTCGTCTCTACAATAAATCAAAAAATTAGCTGGGCATGGAGCTACTTGGAAGACTGAAGTGGAAGGACTGTTTGAACCCAGCAGGTAGAGGCTGTGGTGGCCGTGAGCATGCCAGTGCACTCCAGCCTGGGTGACAAAGTGAGACTCCAACTCAAAAAAAAAACAAACTATAAAACAACAACAACAATAAAACAGTGATGAAAGGTAGAAAAAGTCAGCAAGGACACTACAAAGTATTTGCTTCAGAGAGGCTGTGGTTTTGAGCCCAACTTACAGAATGCTCTTCAGAGTCAGATGTCTGGGATGAGATGATGGGATTAAAGCTGGTTGGTGACAAGGGGCCCAATTTCTTCCTCATGGCTCGGATCTGAAGCAGTGCCCGGAAGGCTGTGAAGAAGAAAACAGGCTATCAGGACATCCTGATGTGGGATTAAAGATGAACAAGAGCCCAGACAGAAACCATGATCCCTCCCGGCACTCATCGGTTTGCCAGACCCAGCAGCAGCATGTGCTTCCATGTTTAGTAAATGTCCTCCCAATCCTCACTCCTGCCCGCCAGTCTCCCTGCTACTCTGGGGCTTACGCAGTCGACAGATGGGACAGTTGTTGGCCTGGTAGCGCAGGGTGTCTGCACAGGTGTTACAGAGGCAGAGGTGGCGACAGGGGAGAATCAAGGTGTCTCGGACATCTGAGAGACACACCACACACTCAGCACTGTTATCACTCACTTCGTCCTCAGCCACCTGACCGGGGAGACAGAAATTTAGCCAATGACAAAGAGCCCTTCATGTCCCATACTCTATTTACAAGGCAGCTTGGCTGACGAGCTAAGACAAGTTAGTAAGAACAAAATCCACATTGACTTCAGACTTTGGAATTTACCCAGTGCTTTTCACATGCTTAACTCCACTGCTTCTAGAAATGTCTGTCTACACTCCTCTTATGGGGGCTCAGACATGTGTGAGCTAAAGGAACCTAGGGAAGCTCACGGATAAAGGAGAAAGGGCAAGGACCCTGGCAGGAAACTGAATAGGAGGGTGCTATGCAGCAGAACAAATCCAAACCAGCCTATTTTTCTCATTTACAAAATGATATAAGCATGATAATCTGAAATGAGAAACAAGAACATAGTCTTCTAGGACCTAACCGATTTTAGCATTTGGCACACTAAATACCTAGATTCTGGCTTTACCAGAGAATTTCTCACTCCGTCTCCTGGAAAGAGTACATTTAGCATTCTGAATACAACTTGCCTTAGAATCTTGTGTGTTGTACTTGTTTTCAATTCCATAGATCTCCTGAAGGAGGTAGCTGACCCCATCTACCTGAACAGCAAACAGAAATGTTCAAGGACAGGCTGACTCTGCTGAGACATGAGTGGGAACTCTCCCAGCTCCCACCTCCTTTGGTAACCAAGGACTACGGATTCACAATGAAAAATATCAAAGAACTAGACAAGTAAAGGATGCTTTTATTTACTTATGTTCTCTCTCTGAGAGAGGAAAGAAAATCAAATGTTTAATTCATCCACCATTTACACAACAGAGAACATAAAATTTCACAAATGCAACAATATTACTTGTACTACAGCTTACTATTATGGAATTAAGAAAAGCATAGACTAGATAAAGGATAGAAGAGTATCTATCCAAACATAAACATTAGCTATGTAATAAAATTAAAGTTCAAATATTATGCAAATGAAGGAATGGAAAAGGGAAAGAAAAAAAGTAGGAATGAGCAAGGAAAAGAGGAGAAGGGAAAAATGTAGCTGTGAAGGAAGAGAGCAAGACCTTGCAGGAAAGGCCAATGGTGTACTCCCTTTCCAGGAAACCACACCATCCCCAACAAGCATCAAAATTACCCCTCTTGGACTTATTTCTTAACACCCCAATGCCAATGCCCACTCCCACTCCCACTAGCTTGGGCTATGCCAGTGCCTAAGGTGGCCCTGCCTGCCCTTGTTTCCTTTCAGAAGCCTACTCCTCACTTCTGCTCCTCTGTTCTCAGAGATCCCATCTCCTAAGACCTAGCCTGTCTCTGATTTTATATCCCATTCTCCAGTTTGACAGTCTGTTGCTGATGCCCATCTAGCAACAGGAAAACAGGTAAAATATTTTCCTTTTGCTACACTAGCCTTTCCATCTTATCCAGGCCTTTTGGAGAGCTAAGCCTTCCCCATGAGGCAACTTACCAAAACCTGGCCTGCCCAGGTAGCATCCTGGGCTCAGGATCTGTTTCCTTCTCTGCCTCTCTTAAAACTTGTTTTCACCTATCAATTACATTGAAAAGAACACTACCAACTAACTTATCCTGAGATATTACTGATTACTATGACCTCATTAAAAAAGGGGCAAGTGCTTAACCCAAAAGAATAAATAACATAGAATTTCAGATATCTATCACCTATCTACAGGGGGCTTTTCTTTGCATTTCAACAAAGGCCAACCCTGACTCACATTCCATTGTTCGACACCCTCCATGAGATGACCTACCCCTTCTTGCCAATGCCCCTGTCGTCACTCTCCTTCCCCCTCCATGACATCTCTTCCTACTTCTGCAAGAGTGGAAAGAAAACTGCTGGCACATGGTGGGGTGCAGGACTTCTAGCAGACAAATGCATAAGGTGCTGATCATTCTGGAAGGAGGAGAATGGCCAGCAAACTTGGAAATTTAGAAAAGGAATGGTGGGATAAATCAAGCCAAGGGCTCTTATTACTTTGAATTGGTAATACTTTATCCTTTTGCTTGCCATGCTTCTCACCCTGGCATTTTAAATAAAAAGAGTTCTCCCTAAACTTAATGTCAGGAGATAAATCTTGCACCTTCATTTCTCAAGTCCTTTGCTCAGATAATGGCTGCCTCAACATCAACAATTCTGGAACAATAAAGACACCAAAAATCAGTGTTCCTTTTGGGCCACCCAAGTAGTTAGTAATAGTCTGTAAACTCAAAAGCACTCCCTTCCCCACCCCCTTCTTTGATTAAAAAAAGAAAAGAGGGAAGAAAAGAAGAGATTTAGCAAAAAAGCTTAAAGAAAAAGAAAAAGAGGGAGGGAGAATAGGGACACTAACAGACTAACAGTCAGTGGTCAGCAAACACTTACTACTTGTTTCTGTTTGAGGGGCTTGACACAGAAAGTTCCATCTGTGTGCTGGAATGAAAATATGATAGTCATGAGCAGGAAGGGAAGATAATAAAGCACCACGATATTCCTTTGTTACTTCTCTCAAAGACAGAAGTTCCCCCTTATCTGTAGTTTCACTTTCCATGGTTTCAGTTACCCGCAGTCCACCATGGTCTGAGAATATTATATACAGTAAGACATTTTGAGAGAGGTCACACTCACATAACTTTTATGACAGTATATTATTAAATGATTCTAGTTTATTATTATGCTGTTGATCTCTTACTGTGCCTAATTTATAAATTAAACTTTATCATAGATATGTATGCAGTATAGGAAAAACCACAGTCGATATGAGGCTCCTTACTATCCATGATCTCAGGCATCCACTGGGGGGCTTTGAACATACTACCGAGGATAGAGGGAACTACTGTACACATGTTCTTGGACACTCACAGAGTGGAACTACAGAATCCTAATAATGTAAGAGTCTTACAATCATCCAGTCTAACCTTTTCAGTTTAAGGAGACTGAGATCTAAGGAGTTGAAGATCATGCAGCAAGGGGGAGGCAGAGCTGGACCTAGACCCAAGCATAGCCCCCAGCGTGAAGTACTTTCAATGCCACCACAGCCTCCCAAGCCAGACCCATTCTCCTGAGCACAGACAGTCTGCAAACAGGGGCTACACATGTTCTTGCATGAAAGAAAGAGCTATACATAGTAAAGTGAGGCCCTCTAAAGTTACTTACTTTTTCAAAAGTACCCAGTAGTACATGGCAATGGCCAAAATACTCTGAAAGAAATGAAGGCACATGAACAAAGAAGGCCAAATAGCACTGTTTGATGCCCACAACCTTCCCGGATTCCCCGCAATCTGGCAAGCCAAATGTGCTGGACTGTCCCCAGAAGGGGACACACACTTTTCATGTCAGCCCAAGAAGCTTGGGATCACAGATGTGAGAGGATGCAGACACTGCCTGATCCACAGTCACAAACACCCACAAAGAAGGCATGTTGTTCTGGGGTCACAGCTGCTGCCAGGTCTATGTCACAAAAGGGCAGTGTGCACAGCAAAAGAAGGTAGAAACCATCCCTACCATCTCCTTCGTCCACCACAGCATGTACCACTAGAGGGTAAACCTCTCGGTCCAGATCAAAGCCAAGCTGAAGGGAAAAAAAAGGGGGAGAAAAAAGGGGACTTAACACATGGCACAATAATCCATCAGAAAGGAGGTACTGTCAAGAAGCATTAATCTCATCTCTGCTCCTCATTCATCAACCTCATCATTACCCAAGTCTGTTTAATTGGAAGGGCATTAGTTTCTTTTTTTAAATCCCACAGACGTAAAGACCTCTAGCCAGCTGTGTTTTTCTTTGAGCATGGCTTTCTCAAAGTACCCTAGACAAATGAGTTATTTTGGAATAGAAAAATAGGAATATCCTTGAAATGAAATAAGCAGAACTTTTTTTTTTGAGTTGTAGTCTCACTCTGTCGCCCAGACTGGAGTGCAGTGGCCACTCCCGGCCACCGCAGCCTTGACCTGCTGGGCTCCGGCGAGCCTTCTGCTTCAGCCTTCCAAGTAGCTGGAATTACAGGCATGCGCAACCACGCCTGGCAGATTTTTTGATTTTATTGTAGAGATGAGGTCTCGCTGCCCAGGCGGGTCTTAAACCTGCGGGCTCAGGCAATCCACTCACCTCAGCCTCCCAAAGGCGCGGGATTACAGGCTGAGCCACCGAGACCGGCTATAAGTAAAACTTTTAAGGGCACGATGAAGTCATATGGTTGAAAGGTGAGCATGGTCTTAAACTGTCTGGGCAGTCCCTTTGCTGCCAGCCCAGGTCCTAAGTAGCTCCCAGGTCCATCTGCGTCTGTGTAAAGAACCCTTCCCAGAGGCAGCTCACCTCTTCTTCAGCCCATTCTGAGGGATCCACCGTATGGGAGGGCAGGCAAAACTGCTGACACACCCCTCGCTTGTAGTGCACAGTCTCCGACTGCAGGCTGTTGTCTTTTGGAATGTAGCTATTGATACAAGTGGGAGGAAAAACAAAAGTCAGTATCTAGCCCAGACAGACCTGCAATTTCCTCAGTCTAGTGCCTGTTCTCAATTATCAACAGGCTCTAACATACAGAAGAAAGGCCTCTTTATTTATTTATTTTTAATTGGAGTCTCACTCCGTCGCCCAGGCTGGAGTGCAGTGGCACGCACATGCCACCCCAGCGTCGACCTGCTGCGCCCTGGCGATCCTTCCATCTCAGCCTTCCAAGTAGCCAGAACTACAGGTGTGCGCTACCACGCCTGGCTAATTTTTGATTTATTGTAGAGACGAGATCTCGCCAAGTTGCCCAGGCTGGTCTCAAACCTGTGAGCTCAGGCAATCCACTTGCCTCAATCTTCCAAAGTGCTGGGATTACAGGCTGAGCCACTGAGCCCAGTGAAAGACCTCCTTTATAATCCATTTCCTTTGCTCTTACTTGGCAATGCTATTGAACTTATTTATTTAACCCACATATCCACAGAAAGGTAGCTTGCTAGATTTTTTTTTTTTCTTTTTTAGTTGGAGTCTGGCCACCGCAGCCTTGATCTACTGAGATCCAGTGATCCTTCCGCCTCAGCCTTCCAAGTAACTGGAACTATAGGCACATGCTACCACGCCTGGCTAATTTTTGATTTATTGTAGAGATGAAGTCTTGCTATGTTTCCCAGACTGGTCTCGAACGTGCAGGCTCAGGCAATTCACTTGCCTTGGCCTTCCAAATTAACCAGATCTCACACCCGGTTGCAGAAAAAAAATGTTTTCCTCCCAGGTGAGTGCATAAGACATGGACCCTACCTGGCTGCAAAAGAAGTGGCTCACCTGGTCTCTTGTTCTTACCTGGCAATACCATTCTGGAACTCTTCAGTGGCCTGGTAATAGATGGTGATGGCTACCCGAGCATCCGTGTCAAAGGTAAACTCGACATTGTAATGGACTTTAGCTTTGCTGGCCTCTTCTCCAGGACTCTTCACCTCCTCAGCACATCTAGAAAAACCATAAAAACTCAGCATCTGGGGGGTAGCATATTAATATTTTTAAAATTTATCTTTTTGTAAAGTTAACACAATATTGTGGGATTCTCTATATAGTCATAAATATAGGCCTACATCTTCATTTTAAATGATCATAGAGTACGTCATTGCCAACACTGTTGAGCATTTAGGTTATTTCTGATATTTCACAGTGCTACAATTAACATCCTCGTTCTTTTGCCAGACATTTTTTTATTTTTTACTTTTTCAAAGCTATTAATCACATAGTTTAAATAGTTTCCACAAGGCTTTCATAAAAAACAGCAGGGCTTACTTCTTCCCTTTCCTCTTCTTAAAAGGAAACCTCTTTTAACTGATCATTTCAGCATTTACTACATGTTTCTAAATAACATACTCAGGTTACTACTTCTTGATTTTCCATTTCAGGCATTATCTATTGATTTCCTATTATGGAAATAAGGATTTATTTCTCTTTCCCTACTCTGCCCCATATGGAAATTCCCCCATCCCCACGGTGTAATTATATCATAATTTCATTAGTTCAGTACATTAGTGTGTGTGTTACTGTGATTATATGAACATTATTCACAGGTTAGTCACAGAGTGATCTATGATCATTTCTCCTTTTCTGCATAGCTTTTTCTTAGAGTTACTCTCATCTTGTTTTTTTAGTTGCTTTGTTTTTTAGTTGCTTTGTTTTCTCATCACAAATTCTGACCCAAGTTCTCTGCTGTCTGTCTAAATCATTCAGATGCACCAGTTGGTCTATTCACTTCATCTTCTTGAGGAAGTCCCCTCTGGAGCCCTCTGACCAGCTCGCATCTGGACCCTGCCCTCTGTACCTGACTCAGCTGCCATCCTGGACTCTCCCCCATCATCCTGGTGGGTCACTTTTGCCTCTGACCTGTAGAAGCTCATGTTTCCTGCACCTCAGGTCTTCCTTTTTCTTGGATTACTCTTTCTTGTTGGTGGAGCACATCTTCCACCAACTTCCTGAAAAAAGGTGTGTTGGGGGGATAAACTTTTTGAGAGCTTTTATTCTACACTCACCTTTCATTAAATTTTTGGCTGAGGAAAAAATTCTGAGTTATAAATACTTTCTAAAAGACACCAAAAGCCTCCCTGCTGCCTTGTCTTCTAGCTTCCAGTAGTGCTCTAAAGAAGGTCTGCAGCTGGTCCAACTGTTGATCCTTCTTCCTCTGAAAGCTTAGAGAAGCTCCTCTTATCATCCATTGTGCTGGGCACTTGGTGGGGTCTTTCCATTTAGAAATTTGTGCCCTCTAGTTCTGAGAAATTTTCTTAAATTATCTGTCACTGATAATTTCCCTTTTATATTCTCTGTTCTCTCTAGGACCATTAGTTGGATATAAGATCTTCTAAATTGGTGCTCTATTATTTGTATCTTTCCTCTTCAATTTTCCATCTCTTTTTTTGCTCCACTTCTGGAATATTTTAACTTTTCTTCCTACCATTCTATTGAATTTTATGTTTCTGCCACTAGGCTTTTAATTTCTTCTCCCCCCCCCCATTTTAATTTTAAAACTATTTTTGTGTTTTCTAAATACTTTGTGTCATTGTGTCCATATAATAAAAATATTTTCTCTTATGTCTCTGAGGCTATTAATTAAATTTTCTTCTTCTTGTATAGTTTTTGTTTCCAATTAGTTTTTTTTTAAATTTTATTTTATTTTTGAGTTGGGAATCTCACTCTGCTACCCAGGCTGGAATGCAGTGGCATGATCATGGCTCAGTGTGGCCTCGACCTCCTGGGCTCAGGCGATCCTTCTGCCTCAGCCTTCTGAGTAGCTGGGACTATAGGCATGTCACAATGGCTTATTTTTAAATTTTTTTGTAGCGACAAGGTCTTGCTATGTTGCCTAGGCTGCCTCAAACTCCTAGGCTCAAACAATCCTCCTGTCTCGGCCTCTCAAAGTGCTGGGATTATAGGTGTGAGCCACCATGCCTGGCCTTAGTTGGGTTCTTTTAAAAAATGTTGGTTTAGCCGGGCTTGGTGGCTCATCCTGTAATCCCGCACCTTTGGGAGGCTGAGGTGAGTGGATTGCCTGAGCCCCCGGGTTTGAGACCCGCCTGG